TGTTTGTTCACTCCTTTGGCGTAGATAGGGAGGATGATCTCCTCGATAATGTACTTCTGCTCAGAGCTGAAGCCAGCTAGCAGCGTCGGTCGCCTGTTGATGTTTGCCTCTTCCAGTCCCAGAGCCTTCATTGTTTCGAGGAATAAGATGTTTGCTGAAGAGCCTCCATCTATGAATACTCTTTTCATTAGGATGTTGGCAACCTACAGGGATATGACTAGGGCATCGTGATGAGGAGTGGCCAGGGTGACCGGCTCGTCATCTTCAAATTGAATTACCTGATGAGCGTGTGACCGTGAGGCCGGATGGATGGATTAGACTTCATGGTGGTGGTTGGCTCTGGCAGATCGCTTAGCTGATGAGTACTTACCCTACTGATCTCTGACCCCCTGGAGATGAGCGAACAAAAACCTTTTGGTGTAGGTTCTCGCGGAGGTGGTGATGCTTATGGCTAATGGTGTTCTTCCCCTTATCAGTTAGCAGATCCCAGAGATGTCCCCTCTTTAGAAGTGTAGCGATGCAGTCTGCGGTGTTGTGCCCATGATCGCCGTGGAACTCACACCATTTCGTCTTGTCTTTCCTTGCCTTGGGATTGAGCGTGCCTGGCCACTTAACGGTGGATCCCATTCCTTTCATAATCGCGACCACCTGGGTTGGCTAGACATTGAGGCTGTACTCCGGTATTTCATACCGATTTGATCCGAACTATCTGCTCTCGGTTCATGTTGGCTAACGATCATACGATTTCCTGACTCTGCTCGAATTACGCACTAGGGGTTGGTAGCGGTGCTCTGCTGGCCTGTGCTCTGGTTTCCTATCATTCCGCCTTGAATCGTATCTGAAGTGAATCGTTTGGTTTATCTCATCCTCCTCCCATCTTATTTGGATCATTGCCCGGGCCAGGGCGTCTTCCATTGTTGTGCATCCCAATTTTGTAAGTTCTTTGTATAGCTCTCCGTCCGGGAGGAGACCCTTCTTGAAGGCATCTACGGTTGTCTCAGGGTTGCATACAGGGATGAAGATCTTCTCTTTGTTAAACCTGCTAACATACTCTGTCAATGGCTCGCCCCTTCTCTGGTATACTCTGTATAGGTTGGCTGACAGCTTCTCGAGTTTCTTGCTGCTGGCGAACTATTCCACAAACGTGTCGGTAAGTTGAGCAAATGAATCGATGGATCCGTTCGGGAGGTTCGTGTACCATTGAAGTGCCAGGCCAGATAAGCTCGAACCGAAACTTTTGCACATGCAGGCTTCCCTAAGCGGTTGGGGTATTGAAACGGTGAACATCCGCTGCTTGTACGAGGCTATGTGATCATCCGGATAGGTTGTGCCATCGTACGTTTTCATGTTGGGGATAGTGAACTTCTGAGGCATGTCGGCTAGGGCGATCTCGTCCACGAAGGGTGAATCCGTGTAACAATGGGGCCTACTCTTCTTGGTTGGGATCAGCATTCCTGGAATGCGTCGCATCACTGCTTCCACATCGGCCAATCTCTTGGCTAGCACCTGTTCCATAGGAGAAGGGGATGCCACTAGGTCATCCCGCATGACTGGGTCAGCCTTTGCATTTAACTTTGGTACATTCCGTCATGTCATCCCTCTTGGGGTAATCTGACGAGTTCCTTCGTGCGTTCCCTGATGGCATAGATCTTCGGTCATTCCTTCTGGTTGGATGACTCCCATGGTAACTATTCTGGTGTTTCGCCCTATATGGATGGTCAGGGGTGTCCTCTGATAGTCATTCGATTGGTCAGGATGGATGGGCTCGGGTGCTGTTGGTTTAGTTTGGCCGTTGATCCTGCGAGGATGAGCCGAGCTGAGTGGAGTATGTGTTAGGATGGTTAGATTGAGCTGGTCTTGTGGATGAGGGCTTTCTGCCACTAGATCGTCTTGATCTTGATGCTGGGATGAATCGGCTGAATGATGTTCTACAGGCATATCTTTATCTCCATGAATTAGGACAGAATCATCGACCGCAGATGGGTTTAAGGGACACAGCCTTTTGCCAGAGGCTGAGGGTCAGGGCTCCGACGTAAGGAGAGGTTGCATGGACAGAACAGGGGTACGGAACCGATTAGAGGGTGCTTGGCCAGGCAGGAACTCTAGGTCATAGAATTGACTCACATTCTCCTTGAGAGATTGGTTTTCTAACTTGATGGACACATTTTCTGTCCGGATCGCATTGTTCTCAACTTCCAATGCAGCCACCTTGTCCAAGTTCTGTTGCATGAGAACGGTTAGAGCTTCCAGTTTGGCCTTGAGGTCAGGATTAGCGTTATCGGAGTTGTCAGCCATGGAAAGTTCCTCTACGCAGCAGGGTTCGTCGAGCCGAATGATTGCTAGAGGCCCCACGGTAGGCGCCAAACTGTAGACGTAAAAATCTACCTGTACGGAAGAGGGTTCTGATCCCGTGAGGTTGAGGCCACTAGTGATCCGCTGTACCTGCACACGTAGAAAAACAAATGCATGAAGCGAACGAGGAACACCGGGGTGCTGTTTGCCATAGGCACTCTGACGCTCAAGTCAGCGAGGCTAAAAGAGGCTAGTATAGTGAGGGCTAGGAAGTAAAGAGGTTACCAGAAGTCTAGTCGGAGACTATGACTACGGTAGTGATGTAAAGCTCTTAAGTAGGAGCTTCGGATGTGAAGGTGTAATGTAGTGTCCCCTGTGAGAGGGCTGGCCTCTGTTTATATAGTGACTGTCTGGTCTCCCAATCCTGGTGGGAGTAGGAGTCCTAATGTGACTATGATGCGAACCCTAGAAGAATTAGGGCCGTGGTATGCTGTCTTACCAGTGTCTGGATAGGAAGGTGATTTTGATTAGGAAAGTAACTTCGAATAGGAAGTGTTCTGAACAGGAAAATAACTTCGAATAGGAGACTGATCAGGAACTGGAATGTGATCAATGGGCCGTGGGCTTGGAACTCGCCTATAGGCCCATGAAGTGAACTGGAACTGGGAGGCCCGTGCCTAGATGGTTTGGGTCAGCCGTATCTCGTATCAAATGGGACTAATCTGGCTTGGGCCTCTTTAGGACTGGGCCTGGTCTTTTCTTCACTAGTGGTCCTGTTTTCCTATTTGGGCCAAGGACGATTTTTGGCCCTAACAGATATTAACTTAAAAATTCGTGCGAATCAAGTTTTATTGTTCTTCCTTGAGTTTAATATTTCAAAGATTGGTATGCAATTGGGGCTGTTAGTCGAGCCGAGCCACTCGCGAGTCAGCTCGGCTTGAGTCGTTAAATACTCAAACTCGGCTCGATTATAATCAAGCTGGCTCGAATTCAACTCGAGTTCGAGTCTACCCCAACTCGGCTCGATTTGGCTCGCGAGCCAATAGTGGCTTGTTTAGGGTTTTTTTATGCATAATACAAGTTTTTGGTTTGTTTTGTAATTTGACATGACAAAGACTAAAAGGTTTTAAAAAAATCACAAATTAACCCTTAACTAAATAACCCCAATTAACCCAAAATCAAATCGTGTAAATGCATTCTCCCCCAAAGTTCTATGCCGTTTTGATGATAATTTTGATGTATTTTGATGGACATTTGTGTTTTTTTTTTTCTTGGATTATATAATTTGTTATGTAATACATTGTTTATATTGATTTGGATGTGATTTATGTTGATTTAGATGCAAATTTATAAAAAAATTGGATATGATTTGTGTAAAACAAGATCTGTAGGTTATATTAAAAAAGGTTCAAATGAGCCGTAATCGAGCCAATTCGAGCTCGCGTTAAACGAGCTCGAGTTGAGTCACGAGCCAACTTGTTTATAAACGAGTCGAGTCATGAGTCGAATTTTCCTGACTCGGTCGACTCGTGACTCGACTCGAACTCGTCTAATGCTTAACTGAGCTAGGCTCGTTTAGGATGATACTCGGCTCGTTTACCCCCTATATGCAATAATTGTGAGCTAGCCTGTCTTATCAAGTTCATTGAATGCAATTTGTTCCATTTTAAATTTTAGTTTTTGCTAATTGTTTTGTGCAGGTTCTTGTAATGAGCCCTCAAATACTATTTCATAGCTTTTGTCATCGCTTTATCAAGATGGAGTTAATTGCTCTTCTGATCTTTGATGAGTGCCATCATGCTCAAGTCAAAAGCAATCATCCTTATGCTCAAATAATGAAAGTGATGGTCATATATATTCATGCTTATTTTTCTTACATAAAAATTTCTGCAAGCATCTTTGTACTCAGTGTACTTTAATCTCTTGACATAGATTATCTTCATAATTGTGTAGGAGTTCTATAAACCTAAAGAGATGAATGTTAGGGCCAAAAATCGTCCTCGGCCTAAATTGGAAAACGGGTCTGACAATAAGGAAAAGACCAGGCCCAACCCCGATACGGCCCAATCTAAAACTCACCGGATTAGGCCCAATTGATACGAGGTACAGTCGGCCCAAACCGTACAGACACAAGCCTCCTAGTCCCAATTCACTTCCTGGATCTATAAACTAATTCAGAGCCCATGGTCACCTACAGATCACATTCCTATTCGAACACTGGTAAAGTAGTCCACTACCACCCCAACTCCCCCAAGGTCTGTGTCAGAGTCATACTTGAACTCCCTTTCATGCCAGGATAAGGGGATCAAAGGATATATCCCTGGAGGAAACAGATCACTATGAGAACTCCCAATCTTGCTAGGATTGGGAGACTGGACAATCACTATTTAAACAGAGGTTAGCCTTCTTACAAGGTAGATTACACTACACCTACAGACCCCGAAATTCTAGCTTGAGAACTTCACATCACAACCGTAGTCACAGTCCCCTACTAGACTTCTGGTGACCTCTCTATTCCTTAGCCCTCACTAAATCAGCCTTTCAGCCTTGCTGACTTGAGCGTTGGAGTGCCTACGGTGAACACTACCCTGGTGTTTTCCGTCGCTTCACATTTGTTTCTCTATGTGTGCATGTACAACAGATTGCTAGTGGTCTTAACCTCATGGGATCAAACTTTCTTTCCGTACAGATAGATTTTTACGTCTACAATGAAAATGCCTCGAATATTTGGCATGATTGCATCTCCAGTTATAGGGAAAGGTAACACATTTCCCCTTTTTCTCCTGAACTTTTGAGTTTTAATTGTTTGAAAATTTGTGTGCATGTATGCATTTTTGTTGGAAGGTCAAGTTTAAAGAAGGAGTTTTCTTAGAGTTTATGTGGATCTTTTTTCTTTTACTTTCAAATCTTGAAAGCATGAGGACTCCTAGGGGTGTGTTTGTTTTAGTATTTAGAATAGTATTTTTGAAATAATAAGAGTTGGGTGGGAATAACGAGGTAGGATTTAAAAATTAACAAAAACACCCTCTAGGTTTGTTAATTTACTAAACATCCCTATAATAAAAACGTTAAAAATTACAAAAATACCCCCACCCACCCATTAAATACTGGCAGCCAACCACCACCGCTGGAGGGTGGCCAGAGTTGCCGTATCGACGGATGACCTGCTAGATATGGCCTGTCGTGCGTCGAGATAGCCTTTTTCAGCCAGATCCACCATGGATCTGGTCGGAAAATGCCAGATCTACGGTTGGATCTGGCAATTGATGGCCAGATCTAGCCGCGTTTGGTTTTTAATGACGGCCAAAGATATGACCATTGTTGATGGTCAACGACGACCATATCTTGACCGTCATTGGCAACTAGCTATGGCCAAAGATCTGGCCGTCAACGACCATATCTTTGGTCATAGATCTAGTAAAAAAAGACTATATCGGCGTACCATCGGCCAAATCCAGCTGGTAGTACGTCATTATACCAGATTCCGGCCACCTTCTGGCGGTGGTGGTCGGAATCTTGCAAATGTGGGTGGTGGGGATGTTTTTGTCAATTTCTAAACTTTTTTTGAGGTGTTTAGTTAAATTAACAAACTTAAGGGATTTAAAAAATAATTGAATAAAATATAATAGTTTTTTCACCCTAGGGAACAAATGTGTATTTTGGAAATGATAAGAATAGGATAAGGGAAAATATTGAAATTCTTTCTTCTTTCTAATCTTTGAAGCTATCATAACCAATATTAGCTACTGAATTTGCAATATGATTGCCTTGACAACAGGTACGAGAAAATTTTACTTGCATTGGAAAAGCTTATTCGTACAATTGAGCCATCTATTATTAAGATCCCTAGGAGGCATGAAAATATGAGACAAAGATTAAACGAAGATTGAGATTTAATTGTGAGAAGAGAATGATAACTAGAAACAGCATTGTAACGGACTCTTTGCTATTCACAGGCCATAAATGCATAGCTTTTCCATTCTCTTTAGAGTTTGTAGTATAACTATATAGTTGAGAAGTCTGGGAGTTCTTGTACGCAATCAACTTGACAATACATCTGCTCCAAATTGTCAGCCTGCAATACTTTATGTCCTAGGGTTTTTCTGAGAGACCTATGATGAATTCCTCCTGTCATTTATATGGGATGGTTTATGGTGGAATATTGTCTTTGCATATGACTCCTTGTTTCTTTATGAATCCATTTTTTTAAGAAAAAAGTAAAACATAATGTACGGCGTGGTAAAGTTACTCTGAATAATTTTTGGATTTTTGGATTCCCATGTCATATAACCTGCATCTAGGACTGATCTTTCTATTGGCTGTCAAACTTAGTAGACGTATAGTATGGGTTTGCAAAGTTGCAGTTACTTGGTTTCATAGTTTCTTCATGCGTATATGTTACTCTTTCAGGAGCTTCGAATCAAGCAAATTTACCCAAAAGCATTAATAGTCTTGAATATATACTCGATGCTAAGGTGAGTCGTAGAAACTGTGTATTTGGATGTAACTTAGGTTTATGAAATTCTTATTGTTTTTGAGGCCAGTGTTGTTAACTAACTGTGCCCAAGCTCAATTATAAATGTCTTCTCTGGAGCATAGAATTGTTTTTGTGCTGTTGTTCAATCCCTGGAAGCATCCCTGCTCTACAAATATACACGGTCTTTGCCTTGGGCCTTGAAATACTGTGTGGCTGTCTGCTGAGTTCAAATATATATTTTTCTTTTTATCTTTTCACTGTACATTTGAAAAGATTGTACATTATACTTATTCTTTTAGGTTTTCCATCTAGCTTACTAGCACTGAGGTGTTCTGTGGCTTGTGGATTGTGGTACAGTTAGACGTACACCAAGTCTAGCCCAGCATATCGATGCTATTGTGGTGCATTGATGCACACTCAACCTTGGCCGGTCTGACAATTTATCAGCTGAGTTGTATCAGTCCTACTAACCCATTTAGACTTATTTTCTAACATTTTATTCATCTACCCCTCTTCTCTGGTTGTTTACCTTAGATCTCATGGGATTTGGAACGAGTCATAGTTGCCCTGTGCAACAAAATCTATGCGTTAAAATTACTGTTTACTGATTATTAAACTGTAATAAAAGTAAATATAATGTTTACTGATTATTAAACTGTAATAAAAGTAAATATCTATTTAGATTTCGGATTTCGTGTTGCTTGGTAGCAGTGTATGAATATCATTTATATTAGCAGACAATTTCTAATGCAGCTTGCATAAAACCTCAAACTTTGCTGATTAGTCATATGAATGGTTGAATAATTATTTTTACAACCTTATGAATGCTCTAAAAGATCTGTCCGCCACATGTCCATTGTTTGTCCCATGGTGAAGGCTAACGTCTTGGTCAAGCATTCCTCTGATAAGCCCTGCACCAACAAAAAAAAAAAAAATTATAAAATGAAGGGTAAAGGTAATTTTGATGATATTAAGCGAGCTCTTTTATTGTTCTCCAAAAGATCCTTGCATCTCTTTTTTGTAAAGATCTTTATACTGGAGTGTAAACTGATATATATAGATCTTTAATACTTTCTGTCTTAAATTTGATATGTACAATCACTCATTTTAAGCTTTTTAAAATGGAACTTGTTCTAAATGTGATTTTCAATTTCCATCCAAATTCTATTTACGTGCTTATAGCTAGGCATTGTTGGACTTCATTGTAGCAAATCATGTAATTATACTAATCTAGTTGCTCAAGTTTTCCATTGTTGACCTCTGAATCTTTTACCTCTATCTTGTAGGTGTATTCAGTTGAAGATAAGTTAGATCTGAAAAGATTTGTAGCATCACCTGTTGTAAAAGTATATCCATATGGTCCTGTTGTAAATGGCGGTTCTAGCTCCTACATGATTTATGTTAAAAAACTTTCAGAGATAAAAGGCGAGGTATATTGTTGTAGCTGGTCATTTTGTTCTATTCTTCTCATTCAAACAAGCTTTTTACTTGTCGCTAATGCTTTGTTGTAAGAGCAGTGCCTATCAACACTTAGCAGGGAGAGACATGATGTTCAAAGTCTTCGGAATATAAAAAAGCAGATCAGCAGATTGCATGATAACTTCATGTATTGTTTGGAAAATCTCGGAGTTTGGGGAGCACGGCTAGTAAGCTCTTTTAGCATCAAAACTGATTTCTTGATTCTATTTATTTAGTTTTCTGCCGTTCTCCTTGAGATTACTAATTTATTTATTATCGTGATATTCCATTGTGGATTTATGTTACTAATTTGTCCAAATCTGGTAAAGTGCAGGATTTATTCTCTTCAGTGAATTTGGGTCATTATAATATATCTAAAAGATTTATGTGTGTGTGTGAAAGAAGCAAAAATACTTCAGCTGTTGGATTTTTTTTTTTTTTTTTTAGTCAGTCTTTTGCAATTTTGCATCATCTGAATTTCAGTCACTGTTGCCAATTTTTCCATTGGCAGTTGGTGTTACACTTTAATTTATCGGTTTTCTTTACTCCTTTTTAAGGCTAGTGACAGTCTATTGAGTGGTGATCCATCTGTGAGGAATGAATTAATAGAAGCAGAAGGAAATTCCATGGACGACTCTTTATATAGTTTTTTATCCAAGGCTGCTGACGTCTTTGCTTCTGCTTGCACAGGAGGTACAATAATCTATCTAGAAATTGTTTCATTGAAGCTTCAGCTATCTTTTAGCTGTTTCTCTATTTATATAGTACATAGATATTTATAAATCTTCTTGCTACTATAGCTTTTGCATGAATCAGCTAAGTAAGATTGTTAATTTTGATTTTCAATTATGCTTAATTATAAGTTCAAAAGAGCATACTGTGTAAAATTCAATGATCATTTTTGGTCTAATTAGTCATTTGAATCTTGTTATTGCTACCCTTGTAGATGGCATTGCCTCTGAACTGTCTTGTATAGAGATTTTAAAGGAGCCGTTTTTCTCAGAAAAGCTTTTGCGTCTTATTGGAATTCTCTCCTCCTTCAGGTTGCTCTTAGAGTGGTTTAAGCTTTCTTTATTATATTGTTTATTTAACATGTTTCTTGGGGGATCTTATCTAACATTTTTTTGTTTAGCTTTGTTGCTTGTAAACAAATACCATTTTTGCTTGTGTTCCCCTTAACAAGATGTTGCAACCTATGCATTTTTACAAGTGATTAAAAATTTGCTTAGTGACATATATGAACTTATGTATTATGATTTTCTGTTTACTGACGTGAAAAAGGTTGATGTTCTAGAGCAATTTCTTGATTGCACTCCTTTTTATTTTTTTCTCTGGAGGTAGGTGGTGATCATCGTTGCCTGATCAATGCCTGTTCATGTCTGCTGTGAACTTCGGGGCGTATATAGAAGTGATAGTCTAAAGTCCTTTGGGTGATAGCTTTAAAAAATATATATATATAGCTTTCTTTGGATTAGAAATTGTATCTTTCTTCAAATGAATATCTTGTCTTCTTGTCTCTTCCTAATCGTTGACCATTTTCATATAATTATATACTTACCAATGTGTACGCATTTAAATAAGATTGTTATGGCCAATCTTTATCGTGTATCTATCTATAAATAGGGTTGCAATTAAATATGAAATATATAGTTTTGTAGATAGGATTAATGATGGCAGATCAATGCGTATATATATAGATATATCTATGTGTATGTCTATGTGCTGTGCATAAATCTGTGGGCATTTATTCTGATGGATGTTTATTTTTTCTATTCCAGGCAACAACCAAATATGAAATGTATAGTTTTTGTAAATAGGATTATTACAGCAAGAACCTTGTCATATATACTGCAAAAGCTTAAGTTTTTAGCTTATTGGAAGTGCCATTTTCTTGTTGGAGTCCATGCTGGATTGAAGAGTATGTCACGGAAAACCATGAAGAGCATTCTTGAGAAGTTTCGTTGTGGTGAGGTAATGCTTCTCAATTCACATTTTTGTAAAGTCTTACCCACATGGCTTTTCTAATGATGGAATATTAAAAGTCTTTGAACTGTAATACTTTTTTTGTCCCTTTACCTGAGTATGTCTAAAAGTTTCTCTGGAAAAAAAAAAATTATTATTTAAAGTTTGAAATGAGTGAGAAGTGAGGAACTATAATGAAGACAAGGAAAAGTGGTAGTCTTGGTTGCTAATTTTGTCATTGATGTTGGCACTTCAGGATGTGTAAAGCAACGTGTATTCGGCATAACATACACTTCCATTTTTTATATTTGACCTAGAGACTGTTGGCCAAAAAATTGAGGATCCATATCATAAATAGGCGTTACGAGAACTTATAAGAACCATATAGTTCTTATCTTATGATGGTATGGACCATCCTCTCCATTTCTTCATCTTTATGTGGATTATTAAATCAGATTTGCTGATTGCGCAGTTGAATCTTTTAATTGCAACTAAAGTTGGTGAAGAAGGACTTGATATTCAGACATGCTGCCTCGTCATACGGTTTGATCTTCCAGAAACTGTTTCTAGCTTTATACAATCCAGAGGTCGTGCTCGAATGCCTCAATCCGAATATGCATTTTTGGTGGACAGGTGTTTCTCTGAAGTACATGATATATGAAAGTCCAATCATCAAATACTTGTTTTCTCTCTCAACTAGAGTAACCTTTGTTCTTAATATTGCAGTGGAAACCAGAGGGAGGTAGAATTGATAAAAGATTTTGAAAAGGATGAAAATCGGATGAATATGGAAATTTCAGGCAGAACATCTATTGAGAGTTTCAGTTTTTCTGAGGAAAGACAATATATAGTTGAATCATCTGGCGCTTCTGCTAGTGCTGGATATAGCATCTCTTTACTTCACCAATATTGTTCAAAACTCCCACACGATGAGTATGTCCTTCAGCATTTAATTGTACCTATGTTTCAAAATCATTGTTTCAACCACTAAACTTGTGTGGCCAATCCATGGTTTGTATACATACTTGTTCAGATGTTTGATCCATTTTTGCAGGTTTTATAATCCCAAGCCAAAATTTTATTATTTTGATGATTTAGGGGGAACTGTTTGTCACATAATTTTACCTTCTAATGCTCCAACACACCGAATCGTTGGTACACCCCAATCTTCAATTGAAGCTGCTAAGAAAGATGCTTGTCTGAAAGCGATAGAAGAATTGCATAAGTTGGGTGCTTTAAATGATTATCTTTTGCCAGATGGAGGCAATGACAATGAGGAGGATGGAGAGCTGGACTCTTCTGATTCTGATGGCTGCGAAGGTTGAGGCAGTGCTATTTATTTTAGAACAACAATTTTCCTATTTGCATCAATTTCAAATTTTATCTCTTTGATTTTGTCTGTTGGCAGGTGAGAATGAGATTCCAAGAGGAGGAAGGCATGAGATGTTAGTTCCTCCCATACTTAAAGAATCCTGGGCCAAGTCAGAGAATCCTGTCTATCTTAATTCATACTATTTTCAATTTATTCCGGATCCCAAGGATAGAATCTATAAAGATTTTGGACTTTTTGTCAAGTCACCTCTTCCTCAAGAGGCCGAGAAAATGGAACTTGATCTTCACCTTGCTCGTGGTAGAACTGTGAAGACAGAGTTTGTCCCATCAGGAGTTGCAGAATTTACTAAAGATGAGGTAACAGTAGTTTTGATATGTTCACAGTTATGATGAACTTATTTAAAGTATTCTCATTTTATATCCTTACAGATTATTCAGGCGCAGCATTTCCAAGAAATGTTCTTGAAGGTCATCCTTGACCGATCAAAATTCATTTCTGATTATGTTTCCTTAGGAGAGGAAGATTATGAATCAAACTCATCAACCTTCTACCTGTTGCTTCCAGTCATTTTTCATGAAAATGCAAGCACAGTTACTGTAGACTGGAAGATTGTCAGAACGTGTTTATCATCTCCAGTGTTCAGGGAACCACCCAGTTGTAAAGGCACAATTTTTTTTCCTTCTGATGAACACTTGCAACTTGATAATGGTTGCTGGAGTATAAGTGATGTTGAGAATAGTTTAATATATGCCCGACACAAGGATTCGTTCTACTTTGTCTCTAACGTTGTTTGGGAAAAGAATGGTTACAGTCCATATAAGGATTCAGGCCCTACAAACCATGTGGAGCACTTGATTAAACGGTAGGTAACTAATCTCCCTGATACTCTACTACTATCATAATAGTTATTACAGCTAATCAGTTTGATATCCTCCAGAAAGGTTGTGTGTTACAGTCCATGCCTGCTTATTTGCTAACACTTTCCTGTATATCTAAGGACAATGTAACTCTGATAAAGAATATAGAGGCCTGACTTTCATTACATTCATACTTGTATTATTAAATTCCTTTTTTCGCTAAATATTTCTCATCAGGTATGATATTAATCTTAAATATCCTGGACAACCTCTTCTGCATGCAAAACCACTTTTTCGTTTGCACAATTTGCTACACAACCGAAAGCCAGAGGACACAGGTACTTCTTTAATTTGTTTTTCTTTTTTGCATTATAATTTTTTTAGTGTCAATTTTGTTCTAAATATGTAAATTATACTTTTTACTGAAATGCATCCCAAAATAAGTTACTGGGTGGGAGGGTGACAATTAGGGAGAAGTTTAATATTCTGTTTCCCAGCCCCCTTCTATTTATTTCTTCTGCTTGTTTTCTATTTGCTTCATGTACACACACACACACACACACACATATATATAAAAAAAAAAAATTTGGGCTTATGCTATTCTGATTGTCCAACAGAATCACATGAACTGGACGAATACTTCTATGATATGCCTCCTGAGCTTTGTCAACTGAAGATAAGAGGGTTCTCTAAAGATATTGGGAGTTCAGTATCTTTGTTGCCATCAATCATGCATCGGCTGGAAAACTTGCTTGTAGCCATTGAACTGAAGCAAGTATTATCTGCCTCATTTTCTGAGGGAGCTGAAATTAGTGCCGACAGGGTAAGGCCTAAACACTCGGGGTTTTATTTTGACTCCCCAGTACTGGCTTCATTGTGCTAGTCAGATAATGCCTGTTTTTTCTTAACTGTATATAAAGACTTAAACCTTATGTGTTGCTGATGGCTTAAATTCATTTAGGTTCTAGAAGCCCTAACCACAGAGAAATGCCAGGAGCGCTTTTCACTTGAAAGGCTTGAAATACTTGGCGATGTCTTCCTTAAATTTGCTGTTGCACGGCATCTTTTTCTCTTGCATGACACCCTTGATGAAGGAGAGCTTACTCGGAGGCGCTCTAATGCTGTAAATAATTCCAATTTGCTCAAGCTGGCAACGAAAAGTAATTTACAGGTAGGATTAGATCGTTGGATTTGATCTTTGTTTTGGAATTGACAGATTGACCTATCATATTTCCTATTGCTGAATAATCATGGCATGCTCATGTTCTAATTGTACTGTATATAACATATCATTTTGCATCAATTTTCTTAGTTTTTGTGGTTACCTTAACAATTGCTGGTGGTGTTACATGATTCTGCAAGGTCTGCAAACTACTGAATACTGACTATAAACAGTGTCAACCATACTGTCTCTTAAGTATAAGATTATGTGTCTGTGTGTCCATGAATAAGTCTTTTGACTTTCTACTTACAACTGCAGTGTTACAATTTGAATATTATTGTTGTATCTTTTCCTATGAGTCTAAACTTTTGGTATGAATGGTTACTCAACATGGTAGAGTCTATTTGATTGAGAGATCTTGTGTTTAAATCCTGAAAGAAGTTATTCTATAGGATATAGTATAGGTTTATGTTTGAGAGCATGTAACAGACCATTAATTAAATTTGACCATGAGGGAGTGTATTGGAGTTTAAATATGATTTTTGGTCCTTTCTGCATAAACTTAAACTTTTGGAGTTGATGTTAAGTCTACACGGAATGAAATAATTTCAACTAGGAGGTAAACTTAAGTATGTGTAAATTGTATTTTACATCCTAAATATTTGTAACTTACACCTGTTTTAGGTATATATACGTGATCAACCATTTGATCCGTGCCAATTCTTTGCTTTGGGCCATCGTTGCACTAAAATTTGTAGCAAGGAAACAGAGAAAAAAATTCATTCTAAAAAAAAAGGTCATGCAGCAGATGATGCAAATTCTGGTGAAATCAGATGTAGTAAAGGTCACCACTGGTTACATAAGAAAACAATTGCTGACGTTGTTGAAGCCCTTGTTGGAGCATTCATAGTTGATAGTGGCTTCAAAGCTGCAACTGCATTTCTTAGATGGATTGGCATACAAGTGAAGTTTGAAAGTTCACAAGTTACTAATGCTTGCTTGGCAAGCCGAAGCTACTTGTCGCTGACGTCCCTTCTTTGGAATGGCTGCCCTTGAAATTCTTAGGATATCAGTTTCTCCATAAAGGCTTGCTTTTACAGGCATTTTTGCATCCTTCTTACACCCAACATGGTGGAGGCTGCTCAGGTATGCACTGTACCTTTTCTCTCCTCTGGTAGTGTGACTTGATTTAATATTCTAGATATCATGTCTTGCCTGTCTGACTAGCTTACATTTTATGTTGATGATGCTGTTATGTGTAATACTTTAATGGTTTTCTCCAGAGATTGGAGTTCCTTGGAGATGCAGTCTTGGATTACTTAATTACTTCATATCTTTTTTCGACCTACCCAAGTTGAAGCCTGGATTTGACAGATTTGAGTTCAGTGTTAGTGAACAATAAGCCTTTGCAAATGTTGCCGTGGATCGGTCCTTGCACAACTTTCTTATGTTTGATTCAAATGGCCTCTCCGAGGCTATAAACAATTATGTGAAGTTTATAAAAACTTCTTCATCACGAGAGAATTTAATTGAAGGGCACAAATGTCCAAAGGTAGACACCGTTACCCCTTTTTTCTTATTATTATTTTCTTGACTTCCTTGTCTTCCATGTATCATATTATGAGTTCCTAAGTTGTTATTTTCCTCTTTCCACTGAAGGTTTATAATCTATAAAATAAAAGTACTGTCTGTATAATGAAGGGAAACAACCCCTACCCAAAATAAAAACAAAACGGGAGTATAAAAATTAACCTAGATATCCTCGCTAATTGTTATTTTTTGTTTTAAGTTTAACTTATTTGTTTTACATTTGAAAAGGGTAAAATTTCAACATGGTTTCATTTGTTGATTCAGGCTCTTGGTGACTTGGTAGAATCTTGTATGGGTGCCATCCTGCTTGACTCTGGGTTTAATTTGAGCACAGTGTGGAAAATAATGCTATCCTTTTTGGAACCAGTCATGAGCTTTTCCGGCTGCACTAAATCCTATAGGGAACTACAGGAAGTTTGCCAATATTATGACTTGCATTGCAGTTTCCAGCCAGAAAAAAGGGACAACATTTTTAGTTGAGGGAAAGTAACTGGAGAGATCTACAGCTTTGCATTGCTGCCTCTAATCCAAAAAAAAAGCTGCTATTAGGATTGCTTCACAAAAACTCTTCGCAGATTGAAGGTAAAAGCTGTATGCTGATTCTCTCTGGTTTGTCACACATGCTGTCTATCCCCATGAAATTAGTATGCCTCTGTGGATGATTACTTAATTTGACACCCTTGGAAAGAATATTGTTTGTAGCACAGTTTACCGGTTCTGTTTCACATTGGATAAACAAGAAATTTCATGTTAACTTGCACTTAAGAAAAATCATACCACAATATGGTAACTAGCTGCACACCAATTGATGTATCAGATGCTCTTGTTTGTCAGTGCATGTGTGTATTGATTTTGCAAATATGCTTGGATTGAAAGAATGTCGTAATAGAGAAGAGTGAGTCAAGTGGTACTGGCATAAGTGAATTTTAGTGTTGAATACTACCATCTTTTCTCCTATAAACAGTTCTACTAGTATTATTAATGTACAAATAGTATGTGGTATTAGGACATTCTGGGATTTGTTTCTTAACATTTCTGTGTAGCTAACATCTGAAAATCTGTGCCAAGCTGGTGTTTTGTAACTTATTATTTAGTTGTATTAATCATCACCAAACTTTGGTCATGCTGAGTCAACACCTCCATTGCAACGTTTCCATTGAATCATCACTTGAATTTCATTGATATGGATGTGCAGGCAAAAGGTTCACGCCCAAGTCTAAACCTTTGGAGGAGTTTTAAAATCTAGTTGCAAGATGGAGCCACTGATTGATTTGATGAAACTCCATAGATGTGTTGTTCCTGATGATATGGGTTTGAATCTTGTGGAAGCAATGGTGACTTGACATCTGTTCTGAAGTGATGTGTCTGATATTTCTTCACCCTCCATTACTCCTGTTAATAGATGGTCCTCGCTTGCTTTTAAAGAAGTCAGACGACAGCCAAGTGAGACCATTTCAGATCCTAGTGGTGACACTGACTCGGAGGCTTCAGGTATATATGTATTTGTTATTTCACTTGCTTGGTATCAACTGTGTGGATCACTGCTTATAGTCTCTGACTTACGGTTTATCAGGTGGATCAGCCAACAAATCAGCAAGATCACATTTGTACGAAATCTGTGCTGCTAACTGTTGGAAACCCCCTCTTTTTGAATGTTGCGAAGAGGAAGGACCAAGCCACTTGAAATCGTAAGTCCATGATCTATGACAATTAATTTGACTGATTTGAGTTATATGAACTCTACTTTTTCAGAACTCAATTTTTACTGAGCAATTAGTCAAAGTTTCAACCTTGATGCCAATATTTTTGTTCTTAAAATTTAATTGATAGCAAGGCTCCATAGTTCAGATAGAAATTGTTATTTTGAAGCGTTGTATCCATTTGTAATCTACATATTTCTTGACATTGCATTATCCAAGATGCAAGGAACCGATTTGTTTGGCATATTTCTTCATCAGGGCTAGCGAGAAATATGAAATGAATCTCTCAATTGTCGTTTAGAAGAATTTCGGAAGTCTGTTGAAAAAATTAATTAGATTCCAGGATCTCATTAGCTCAACACGCATTGATAGTCTGCTTAATTTCTGCTCCACAAATCATATCCTTATTTTTCGTCTTGTATAGCATTGTAAACTATACATACATCAGCGGGCTTTTACCGTTAGACTTGCCACGGAAGAGTAAAATTTTATATCACTCGAGATATAATTTAAGCAGCCCTGAGACCTAAAGAATGAAATTCCTTTGCAGCTTGGCATATGCTGAAGATTCTGAATCAAAATTTTCTGCAGGTTTACTTTCAAGGTTATAGTGGAAATAGAAGGAGCTCCGAATATCGTTTTGGAGTGCTTCGGGGCACCTAAGACAAAGAAGAAAGCCGCTGCGGAGCACGCAGCCGAAGGTGCAATTTGGTACTTGGAACAGGAAGGCTACTTGATCTAGAATTGTTGACATAGATGTAACAATTTTCCCCATTAGATTAGAGGAATTACTTACCAGGGGACCTAATTATATGGAAGTGCTAGTTTATGTCTATGCTAAGTGAAGATGAATGCTGTAACTCCTAAGAAAGTCTTGGCCATTGGCCATCGGCCATTATAATGTATATATAAACCAGTATGCATTTTATCTTAATAAGAAAGTATATATATAAATATAGTTGCAACTGAAAGTGTATGATGTCCATAACGATCAATCGAGAAACGCTGCTTTACATATTCGATGTGTTTCATGTGGGGAAATTTTTGTGGGGAGTCATGTTTTGATGTTCAAAGGGCATGTTCATGTGTTTTCTGCATTGGTTTGGTATTTCATCATATGGAAGAGTTTTTGGCCTTGGCCTTTTTGGCTTGGTGGAGGGTTCAATTGTTAGGTTTTAAAGCTATGAGGGTTTGCATGAAGTTCTTAAATTTTATCAACCTTTAAATATCTTTCTTTTTTTTTTGGAAAAATCATCTTGAATTTATAAATATTATTTTAAGTCCCTTAAAATTCACCAATAATCTTTTATAAAGCTTCATCAAATTTATACAAAAAAAGAAAAATTCCTATAAAATATTTTAATAAAATTTTCGATAAATAATATAAAATATAACATGTTTTCATACAATCAATTAATTTTTAATTTTTTAAATAAAAACTNGCCTTGACAGTTTTGAGGATGCCGTACAACAAGATGTCAAGTTACGGCAGATTATCCAACAGCTCCTGATTGACCCAAACAGCCACCCTCGTTTCAGACTGGTGGGACCCCATTTGATGTATCACAACAGATTGGTTTTACCAAAATCAGGGCCTCACATTGATCAGATACTGCAGGAATTCCATACTTTACCAATTAGAGGTCATTCTGGTTTTTTTAAGACATACAAGCGAATTTCAATTGTGGTGTTTTGGGACGGAATGAAGAATGACATCAAGGCATTTGTAGCGGCTTGCAGCATATGCCAACAGAATAAGTACGATGCTCTGAGTCCAGCAGGGTTACTCCAACCTTTACCTATTCCTCACCAGGTTTGGGATGATATTTCAATTGATTTCATTATTGGATTGCCCAAAGCACATGGAGTTGATACTATTCTAGTTGTTGTTGACCGGCTCACCAAGTATAGCCACTTTCTCACTCTTAAACACCCATATACAGCCAAGACAGTAGCAGACCTGTTTGTACAAGAGGTGATCAGGTTGCATGGATTTCCAAGAACCATTGTATCCGATCGAGATAGGGTTTTCATGAGTAATTTTTGGGCTGAGTTATTTAAGCAGTCTGGAACCCAACTGAACATGAGTTCAGCTTACCATCCGCAAACGGATGGTCAAACCGAAGTAGTCAACCTTTGCTTAGAGACTTACCTCCGGTGTTTTGTCAATAGTCATCCCCAGCAGTGGCCCAAATGGGTGCCATGGGCAGAATTTTGGTTCAATACCACATATCATAGTTCCACAGGAATGTGCCCCTTTAAAGCTCTCTATGGTCGTGAACCTCCAACCGTATTACGTTATGCTGATCATACTTCTCCAGTTGATGAGGTTGACCAACAACTTCAGCACCGAAATCACATCATCGAAGAATTACGGGCAAATCTTCTCAAGGCTCAAGGGCGCATGAAGATGTATGCTGATCGACATCGCCGAGAGGTCACATTTGAGATAGGGGAATCAGTTTACTTGAAGTTACAACCATATCGGTTACGATCCTTAGCCCGTCGCTATAATGAGAAGTTGAGCCCGCGGTTTTATGGTCCTTTTGTCATCACAGACAAGATTGGAGCTGTGGCATACAAGTTAGCATTACCTTCTTCAGCCCGCATTCATAATGTATTCCATGTTTCGCAGTTGAAGAAAGCAACATTCCAAGTTCCCAACAGCCAGCCTCTCCCGGCAGCTCTTAATGAGGATTTAACTTTACAACTTGAGCCAGAAGCAGTCCTCAAGAAAAGGAAACTTCTGAATGGCCAGTGGGAAGTGCTGATTCAATGGAAGGGATTACCTTCCTATGAAAACACATGGGAAGATTTTGACATTATTCACCTTCAGTTTCCTACATTTCACCTTGAGGACAAGGTGGTTCTCCTTGGGGAGGGTAATGATGAGCATCAAACAAAGCTGGTGTACCACATGAAGGGTGGTGGTAGAAAGTAGGGGAATATTAGGCAGTTGGGATTTGTTATGGGGGAATATTTAGGGAATATCTGTGGAACAGGTGGCAGGATATGAGGGGATGGGGGAGAATTCAGTTAGAACATACAGGTGACAAAATAGAATAAAAAGGGGAGAAGAGAAAAGGGGAGATAACGAGATTTTGAGAGTGAAATTGCAAGGAGGCTACTGACCCTCGAAGTCAGTGTTTGGGGAGGTGGCTGACCCTCGAAGTCAGTCTGTTACTCATTATTTTCTGGTGTTTTTACATTGTCTTTCTGAGTTAATTGTTGTTTGTTGTTGAGCTTTGCTAGGAAAGGTCTGTTAGCTTTATTGATAAGGCTGTATGCTTTTAGGGTGATTAATATAACAGATTCTTTTCGTTAAATATTGATTTTGGCGTGTGAGTGTGGATTGTGTTGGTAGTTTTGTCCAGATTGCAGGTCAGGTCCTATCAGAGACCCATCTACTGCTAAATCACAGGTTAATATTGTATATTTTTTTTAGTTCTGGGCATATGGGTTTTTTAAAGTCACTGTTCGGTGGTTGCTTTGCGATCTGTTTTATCCCTGCTCTAATTGAAAGGTTCTTAACTTATATGTAAGCCTTTTTTCTCTAGGCATGATAAAAATTAATTCAAGAGAATTCATTCTCTTGCTTCTTTTGCCACAACAGTGCTGATTTTATGTTTACCTTTATTAGTTTCTTAAGTTTGTCGAGAAGACAGCTCCTACAGCTGTTTCTACTTCTGGGAAAGGTTCATCAGCTTCTGGTCTTACAGCTTCAGTGATCCGAGATAGCAGTTCTGTAAGTTCTTGATCTTCTGTGTTGATACAATTTATACTGCTTATTTTATTCTTTCCCCTTACTTCATGGAAATTTGATAGATACCTATCCCAAGCCAACCAACCACAACAGAAATAGCAAGCAAACAATTGAATTAAACCCAGAAAGCAACAAGAATCAGTAGCCAAAATTCAGAAACACTAGCACTTATACTGATATTCCAGCAACACAAAATACACAGCAACAAAAAACTTAACAAAACTAGCCAAAACAAGAAATCAAATAAACCATAAACCAAAACAAGAAATCAAAGATAATTTTGGTCTTGGAGGGCCAACTCCTCCCAGATAGTGCGCCAGCAACCTCCCATTCTCCACTTTTCTCTTTTTGAAATCCTCTCAAATCTCCTTGTCTCTCCTTTTATGCTATTGACTTTTCAGTCACCCATTCCCCTAATGCCATCTGTCCCTCCTAAACAAACCACACGCACAAAGAACCTTCTTTCCAGCTACCCAAAATCTTCTACTTTGCACCATTATGTCTCCTACCATAAACCAGCATATTAGGGGTCTCATCAAAATTATTTTCCAGTTGATTAATAAATTCCATTTGACTTGAATTAATTAGTTTGCTGACATCATTTCCTTCCAAATCAGCGTGAATTTTATCTTGAAGTAGGAGCCATGGTTTTGGCAGATGGTGGTGTTGTTTGCATTGATGAATTTAAAAAAATGAGATCAGAGGATAGGTAATTCAAAGTATAAATAGATTTTGAAAACTAAATTTCTCCATCTCATGATTATGGCTCCTTAAGAGTTTTTCTTTGTGTGGCTTAGGGTTGCTATTCATGAAGCCATGGAGCAGCAGACAATATCCATTGCCAAAGCAGGAATAACAACTGTTCTCAATTCAAGAACCTCAGTTCTTGCTGCTGCTAACCCTCCATCAGGACGTTGTGATGATCTTAAGGTCACTGCAGCATCTGTTGTTTTACTTGGATTTGTTTCTCATTGTCATTCTGTGGTTTCTGCTTAAGTAACTAACAAAGTTTTTCTCCTTCCAGACAGCCCAGGATAATATTGATTTGCAGACAACCATTCTTTCTAGATTTGATTTAATTTTTATTGTTAAAGATGTCAGGATGTACAGTCAGGACAAGGTAATATACCACACCTTGCTCAGCTATTAAATTCCCTTAAATCGGTATTTGAAATTAAATTTCTATTTGTGCAGCTTATTGCTAGCCATATCATGAAAGTTCATGTATCTGCAGATGCTGTCTCAGGTGACAGCAAAGCTTCTAAAGAAGAGAATTGGCTGAAGAGGTATTTATATCGATTGAACTCGGGCATATGTTCTTCACAAAGTGCTACTTAAATATTTATGATATGCTCAACTGTTGAGTTACCATTTTGGCAGGTATATACAATATTGTAGAGTTGAATGCCACCCCCGTTTATCAGAATCTGCAGCAGCAAAGCTTCAGGATCAGTATGTCCAAATAAGAAAGGTATTCTTGAACTAGCTTATGTCATAATTCTCTTTATTAAGTTGAGCAGAAGTCTGTTCTTTCATAAACATTGCTACATTTTTATTGCGAGAAACTTGGGGATTACCATCAAGTATTCCAATTCTGGAGTAGTTTGGGTTTTGAAATGGACATTTATTGGATGGTCAGAAAATTATAACGTGAATTGTGAAGATCAAGTGTAAGACTGATGGTCCCTAGTCTGCTTACCAATAGCAGCTATCATCATGATTATGCTTGTAGGACATGAGACGGCAGGCAAATGAAACTGGTGAGGCTGCTGCTATACCCATTACTGTAAGGCAGCTTGAAGCTATTGTAAGGTTAAGCGAGGACTTGCTAAAATGAAACTGTAAGTACTGGCTTTAAACTTGAGATTTTAACAAAATTAGATCGAAGCCATAGGTTTTCTCAAGTTTTTGTCTTTCCCTTTATGTGGTTAGAATCTCTATAACTGACTTGCCACTCTTTTATGAACCATGATATTTGGTTAATGAAGCAGTTAGACTTTTTACTGTTTCCACAATGGACGCAGCACAGTCTGGAATACATCAACAAGTGAATCTTACTGGTGAGATGGCTAATGAAATAAAGGTCGGTACATATGCATTATGATCTTCATTCTTATTCCTATTCCAAACCCCCCACCGACTTCCCATTAATCATTGGTTCCCTTTAAACAGCAAGCTGAAACCCAGATAAAGAGAAGACTAGGCATTGGAAACCAAATATCACAGAGAAGATCGATCGATGATCTCACCAGAATGGGCATGAATGAATCAATAGTAAGTATTTATTTCAATGTTCATGTCCTTTTACCTTCTTATCAGAGGAGAAAGGACATTATGAGTCTGTGACTTACAATTGTTCTCAGGATGACTCACGTAGTATTGGAGTATGATGCTAGAGATAAGTGTAGTTAAGAAATGATTCTCAGTAAAGTTATATACATTGTTACTTTGGCTAATTGTTCAGTAGATAGATATCATTTTTACAGCTAAATCTCTTCTGAGTTAAAAGTTTTGGTGATTGCCATTTACATTTTGGCGGGTAAGAAGAGCTCTTATAATTATGCACCAGAGAGATGAAGTTGAATACAAACGAGAAGGGCGGGTTGTTTTCAGGAAAGTTTAATCAATCCTCTGTAAAATTCCTCAAATTGTATGTTATCAGTTTACGATTAATAGTTTCTCAGTCCCTTTGGACAATGTTTTTAAGAAAGTCAGAAAAATGGTCCCTAAACTTAACGGACGTTAGAGTAAAATGACCAAGGAAGGGTATTTTAGACATTTCAGTTGGATGTTTGATGATAAACATTTTAGTTGGTTGTGTCTATTGTAGATATAAACCTAAGAAGTCGTACCAAATCGACATGAAAACCTAAATGCATGAATGACATGATATTTTCTCTATAAAAGAAGCATTCATTCATTCGTTAGCATTTTAAACCAATTTTGACAATGGAGAATCCAAATTCATCATACTGTGATATGTAAGTGACAAGAGATTCAAATGCTCATCTCAAAGAACTCCATGGGTACTATGATTTTGTAGAATTCTTCTGCAGAATCTGTGATCAGGGATTCGAAAACCTTTTCAATTTAAATAATCAAATTGGGTTTTTGAGGGTGGGTATGTTTGGTGAGGTGGTATATGGGAATTTCTTGTATGTGTGTGTCTCAATCCACTCCCTGATTCCCCATGACTCATTCCCAGTCCATTACATCCCTCTTCTTTTCCCCTTCCCAGCCCATCCACTCTATTTTTTACCAGCCCACACATTTTCCCTTGGTCTTGACTAAAATCCGGCCCAGCCCTTTGATTTAACCCGCCCAAACTTTCTGTTGCCTTAACTTCACTACTGATTCCCTCATTCTCATTTTCTAAATTCACAGACTCTTTGACGGGGGATTTTATTAAAAGACCATTTAGAGTTAAAATTTAATTAAAAGGTTATACAATTTGTAAAATTTAACTAAATAGCCATGTTTTTTGATTAAGCTTAATTAAACTTGATTAGGGGTTAATTATGAATAATGAATAATTTTGTAATCTTTAAAAAATTATGATGTCCCCAAAGATTCGAAATTCTAGCAAACAAACCCAAACACTTTCTTCTTCCTCCCGCAACATTAACACATTCCTCCGCCATTGACATATTCTCCAACAAAGATCTTGTCGTCGTCGTCGTCCTCTTCCTCGTAGCATTTCGTCTAGGTATGTGTATCTCCCCTTTTAATTTTATATTTTGATTTACAAAGATTTAATGATGGATTGAGTTTGGGTTATGATTTTGATTTAGTTGTTTAGATTGTGTTTGATGTAATGGAAGTTGAAAGGAGTGAAATCTGTTAAAAAATGTCTTGCATTGTGGGTAGCTGGGGGTAGTAGCACCGATTGTAGGCAAAGAGACTGAAAATGTGCTCTGGATATGATGGTTTGCTTAAGCGATCTGGTGTGTTGCTTAAGCGATTTGGTATGCTGGTAATACAGCAGATAGATTGCTTAAGCGATCAGGTGTGTAGCATAAGATCGCTTAAGCGATCTGCTAAAAGTCTGGTGTATAGCAGCAAATTGTTTAAGTGATCATGCTTATTTATACTGGATTGCTTAAGCGATCCATGATATCGCTTAAGCGATCCAGTAAACGATATACCAGATCGCTTAAGTGATATACCAGATTTGTCAAGCGACTATGCATATGCTTTTTAAAATATTTCAACCGTAAGTACATCAGTTAAGAATAATTTTTTTCTTGCATTATAGGTAATTAGCTATTATGAGACATGAGACAAGTTGTTTTGGGTGTTGAATATTTTGGTGAGTGGGTGGAAGAAGAAAGTAGTTGGAAGTGGATTGAGAAGAGCAAAGAAGTTATACCAATTGCTGTGAGCACAAAGGTTAGTTTTGATGAGTTGATTGATGAAATAATTAGAAGAGGTGAATTGAGTTGCTCACGTAGTGATATAGTTGTGAAGTATGTTTAAAGCAGAGTTCATCAACATTATAAGGTACCTCCTACTATATTAAAGTCGGATGAAAGTGTGAAGTTACATATGATTGATGTGGCTGATAATGGTTCGAGGCCGATTTTAAGGGTTATTTTTTTATTTTTTATTTTTGTAGAAAAACCGTTGGAAGTTGATTCAAAGGAAGGGGATAAAAAGGAAGTTCGCGGAGATTTGCCTGGTTTTAATTTGAACTACGAGGGCGACAATGATTTGTTAGTTGAAAATCAAGAGTAGACGGTGAATTGGGTGGTGAGGAGGACACTATAGAAGAGGTTGGTCATGAGGGACAAAATGAAAATATTGAGGAGGAGGACCCCGTACATGTTCCTGTGGATGTAGAGATTCTTTTAAATACAGATTATGTAAAATGTGTAGTTTGTGAGGAAGAGAACACATTGGCCGTTTATGTAGGTTCAGAGGGGGTAATTGTAGGTAGTAGTGAATCAACTCATGTTTTTACGGATGGATCAGAGTTGCGCATAGGCTATTTATTTGACAACAAAGATGAAGTGGTGAGGAAGTTAAAACTTGTTGCCGTGAGAGGTAATTTTGAGTTCATTACCAAAAAGTCAAATTCATTGGCTGTGATGATTGCATGTTGTGACCGAAAGTGCAAGAGGCGGGTTTATTGTAGAAGGTTGGCGGAGTCAGAAAAATTTATTCTTAGCACATATACTTGTGAGCACACATGTGGTTTGGGACATTTCAGGTGAGCATCGACAAGCCCCTACTGATGTTATTAGACAATTTGTCAAAAGTCAGTTCGTTAAAGGAAAAGGTCAATCTCCTAAAGAGATTCAGAGACTTGTGTGCACAGAGTTGAGATGTGCTGTTAGTTACTAGAAATGTTGGAAAATGAGACAACATGCATAAGATTTTGTGAGGGGCACATCAGAGCACGGGTACGCAGTATTAAAAGCGTATTTTTATATGTTTGAGTTGACAAACCAAGGTAGCAAGACAGCTTTGAAGTGGGATAAGAATATGATGTTTAAATATTTTTTTGTTGCTTAGGGTTCTGCTATAAGGGGTTTTATAAAAATGAGAAAGGTGTTGGCTGTTGATGGTTGCTTTCTGACGGGAAAGTATAGAGGTACATTGTTGGTGGCCACTGCATAGGACAACGAGAATCACACATATCCTGTTGCATGGTGTGTGGTTGACTCTGAGAATGACAAGTTGTGGACTTGGTTTTTTCAGCAATTACATACGATAATGCCTGAGAGTGACGAGTTGTGCATAATATCTGATAGGCACAACTCTATAAAGAAGGGGATTGCCACTATTTACCGTCAATCACATCACGAATTTTGTATGAGACATCTTGGTGAGAACCTAAAACAAAAGTTTAAGTGTGCTGACCTCCTTCAGACATACTACATGACAACAAAAGCTTATCGGGTTGATGAGTTCGAGGAACACTTCTAGCAAATTCGAATCAAGGATGATAGAGTTGCTAAGTATCTTGAGCATGATGTTGGTTTCGAGCGATGGAGTAGAGCTTACTTTCCTGGAAGAAGGTTTGATGTCATGACCACGAACATAGTCGAGTCCATAAATTCGAAGTTGTTAATAGAAAGAGAGTTTTCAATAGTTGCACTTTTTGATGCAATCCAGAGGACATTGTCATGGTGGTTCCATGAGCATCGTACAGAGTCAGATAATTTTACTATAACCCTTGTTCCGTTAGCAGAAAAATTATTGCGAGAACGTATGAAATTGTCAAATGCTGTTTGCCTATCCTCTTAATTCTCAAGAGTTTACTATGCATGGCTATGGTCCGGATGCCCTAGTTAACCTTGTTAGTAAAACTTGCAGTTGTAAAGTGTTTGACATTCAATGTTTATCTTGTCCTCATGCACTAGCATCACTGATACACCAACGGAAGTCGGATTTTGGTTCAAGAATTTACATGGAACTGTGCTCCCCTCTTTATATGGCAAATCACTATATGCTAGCTTATTCAGAAACGATATATCCAGTGCCTCTAGAAGAGCAGTGGGTAGTGCCGCCAGAGTTGGCTAACATTGTCATCCATCCGCCATTCAAGAAGATAGCAATAGGGAGAAAAAGTGTTAAACGTATTCCATCAGCCTCTGAGGTTCCTTGAAAGATGAATAAGTACTCAATTTGCAAGCAACCTGGCCACAAGAGAAGCAGTTGCTAGAAGTAATCACATGCAGATCCAGAAAATTAGGTTTGAAGAAGGATGAAATTCAGGGAGTTGTCAAGGCCAACCGTTGATGAGTTATTGTTTTCAATTATTGATGTTTTAAATTTTATTGTTACCTTGAATAAATCATTCTTTATATTTAGTATTCTTGTTACATGACTTAAATATTTGTTGGTGATTTTAGTTTGGAATTAGGTTGTCAAATTGAGGAGGAAGTATAAGATTAATATGTGTTGGTAATTTTAGTTTGTCAAAATTCAAGAGAAAAGATGAAAAAGAATGTATTGCCCATGATCGCTTAAACGACTAAGTATATCGCTTAAGCGACAAAGGGTTTTTCATACAGAATCGCTTAAGCGATATCATAGATTGTTTAGGCGATCGTGCATCTGGGCAGATATTAATTCTGCTCATCACATGATCGCTTAATCGACCAAGTGAAAAAGAGAAGAATCGCTTAAGCGATATCACGAATCGCTTAAGCGATCATGCATCTGGGCATATATTGATTCTGCCCATCACATGATCGCTTAAGCGACCAAGTGAAAAAGAGAAGAATCGCTTAAGCGATATCACGAATCGCTTAAGCGATCATGCACTTGGGTAGATATTGATTCTGCCTATCATATGATCGCTTAATCGACTGAGTGAAAAAGAGAAGAATCGCTTAAACGATATCACAGACTTTCTTTGGTCGTCCATGACAGCCAGATTTGGACTTTTGCGGCCGTCAACGGCTAGATCTGGCCATAGATTTGGTATTTCCTAGCAAGATCCGTGGTCGATGTGGCCGAAAAAGGCCATATCATTGACGCCTTACTCGCCACATCCGACCCGTCTGCGTTGTAATGCTATTTTTCGACTAAATTCTGACGGTGGCAGCCAGAATCTGACACTCTTAAGGGGTCTAAAAGTAATTAAGAAATTTAAATTTTAAACTTTTTTTCTGGGGGTATTTAATAAAATTAATAAACTTAAGGGGCCTAAAAGTAATTAAAAAATTTAACTAATATTTCCTATATAATTAAACAAACAAATATTTTGGGAATATGGATTGAGAATATTCAACCAAACACACCTTTTATGTTCT